CCCCCCCCCGCACAGGCTCCAAGACAGATCTCTCTCTACTTGAAATGTGAAAATACAATCAGAAGCTGAGCTGCTCAGATGAAATGTGCAAGAGAACTTTTATGTAGCAATAATGCATAGGAAATCTTTTTCTCTTAATTTCTCCAGTACAGACAGCAGAACCGATAATGTGTGACCTTATTGATACTACAGTCTTTAATCGTTTAGCCCGGCGGCCTGTTTAATACCAGGGTTCGGTACCCATCCCTCGTGGTGACCATGGCTGAGTTACAAGTCACCCCCACGTAAAAGTGGAAGCGATCGGAGCATCTCTGGTACTCTCTGATCACAATGCCTGGTCAGACTCCCTGTACGTTAATTACAACATTCATATTAATCCATTTTTAACCGTGAATGCAGGAAAGAAGCACTGCATCATAATTGCTGTAGTCACTGATGACAGCTCCTGGTCGGACTGTCTGTACACTGTTGTATTCATAATTAACTGTGAACACGTTGAGTGAAACACTGCTGGTAATGTGTAAGGCTGGTCAGTTACCAAACTGTACTGTATGCAGGTCAGGCTGGGAATGTGTAAGGCTGGTCAGTTACCAAACTGTACTGTATGCAGGTCAGGCTGGGAATGTGTAAGGCTGGTCAGTTATCAATCTGTGCTGTATGCAGGTCAGGCTGGGAATGTGTAAGGCCGGTCAGTTATCAATCTGTACTGTATGCAGGTCAGGCTGGGAATGTGTAAGGCTGGTCAGTTATCAATCTGTACTGTATGCAGGTCAGGCTGGGAANTATCAATCTGTACTGTATGCAGGTCAGGCTGGGAATGTGTAAGGCTGGTCAGTTATCAATCTGTACTGTATGCAGGTCAGGCTGGGAATGTGTAAAGCCGGTCAGTTATCAATCTGTACTGTATGCAGGGGTGTTGCACTAGGTTTTGCCCCCCAGGGAAGCGTATCATTTTGGTCCCCTAACCTTGACTGATCCAACTGTGTTTGAAAATTTTTAGGGCCCCTGATTGACTGGGGCCCCTGTTTGAAAACATCCTAACTTCCCCCCTGACTGTGTGTATTATGTAATGAAGCAAATACAAACCACTAACATGACCAGAACTGGTGACAGGGGGCAGCCATGGGGGAGTCCAACACCCACTGGGAACAAATCTGACTTACTGCTGACACTGCAAACCACTCCATTTGTACAGGGACCAGAACCGCAAAGTGAACTATGAAAGACGGCACTATCTAGGTTTATGACATTAATGCGAACCAAACTCTCACTCCGTTTGTACAGGGACCAGAACCGCAAAGTGAACCATGAAAGACTAGTTTATGACATTAACGTCCAGCAGCTGTTTCATAAGAAGCAACATTCTTTTTTGTGGTTTTTCTTGAAATTATGTCTCTCAAATGCAAAAATATATGGACTAGTAAAGCTGACAGATATTACAACCAACAACAACATCATGGAACATATAACTAAACACATGCTGTCCAAACTAGCAAAACAGTCATAGATCTGATTAGCCTAAAATGTATCGCTGGCTGACTGATATGTTGCTGCACGTTTCCCGCCTGTGTTGAAACACTCAGCTCTGTGGAGTCGACATCTCTCTTCACATATCAGTGTTGGCTGAGGTTCTTTACTAACTGCAGGGCTTTTCCTTTTCCTGTATGATCCACCCTGCAGATGGTCATGATGTTTCTCTAATGTTGTTTAGATGTTGAGGATATTAATGTCCTTATTATTATTTATACTTCATACTCGTGGGTCCTGACCTCTTTCATCTTAATCTTCTCTAGCTGCAGGATGGTGGCCTGGCTTCTGCTGGTCCTCAGCTTTGCACTCTGTGTCCCTCTTGTCTTAGAGGCTGACTCAGGTGAGTAAAAGCATCACACTGATTCTGTGGGTGATTAGTTGTATATGTCAGTGCCTCTCTGCTGTGTTAATTATAAGGTGATGTGGGTGTCTGACAGAGTCGACTGCTGTAACATCCTCCTGTCAGACGGGGGGGTCGGGTCTCTCGCTGTCTGTATCCCTGTTGTGCTGTAGAGACTGTAACTTGCCTGTACACTCTACCTGCTGTATGATGTTATTAAAGCTGAAGTTAAGCTGTGATATGTGATTAGTGCAAAGTCACATGGTACAATGATTAGACCAATGAGGGTTGAGATCTGAAACTATGTGTAAAGCAGTTAATATAATATCCTTTTAATATCTTGTTCTCTGTTGATCAGCTATCGTATGTCATACTGGAGACACTGTCACGCTGTCCTGCCCTGGAAGACTCCTTAATGACACAGAGGAGCTTCTGTGGATGTTTAAAGGCAAACCTGCCTTTTCATATGGAAACGGAAGCTTGTGTGAAACTGGTCGTTATGTCAGCCGAACCTCGATTGGATCCATCCAGCAGAATAATTTCTCTTTAGATATTACTAATATCTCGAAAGAGGATGCCGGGGTTTACACATGTCGCATCAGTGGAGATACAGAACACATACGAAGCATTAGCCTTATTGTTAATGGTAAGTGACCCTCCATGCGGTTCCCCTTCCCCCGTAAACCTCCTGAGACCCGTCTCTGTGGGGCAGAGCCGCCCCCCAGCTCAGTCTGCCTTCCCTGACCTGCAGGAACACACTTTCTCGATTTAAACTCAATTATTAAAAAGCAATGATTAAAATTTTCCTTCTCACTCAGCAATATATGGCAGAAGGAAGACAGCACACAGCGGATGAGGGTCCAATTAAAGAGCGAGAGCATCATTTGTGTCGAAGTACTAAAAAGTGAATGAGAATACAGTCGTCTGTCAGTATCGCAAAGCAAATCACCACAGCAATGCAAATACATTTTAGTAAAGTAAACATTCAGGTTTGACGGACTCATCCAATAATGCGAGGTCAGCCGTAGATATGTGTCATTGTGCCTTTCGGAGTAGCCTAACTTCTCTGTCATGCGTGCTTAAATTAGTTTGCTTAAATTACTTTCTACGGTTTTCAAAGTAATTGCTGGTAAAATGAAGATTAACCTCGTCACTTAGCCGCATCATCTTACATACTATGGTACATAATAATCATATGGTATTTATTTTTGATACCATGTTTTTTAGGGCTGGACGATATTGGGAGAAGTCAATGGTATGATTTTTGAAGTTTTCGCGTTATTTAGGAATTGAAAGCCAATCGTCTTGGAGAGCACATACAGAGCTCATGCAAAAGCAGCAGCGGTAAACTTTAGATTATTTTATTTATTTATTTTACATACACTATATTGCCAAAAGTATTGGGACACCTGCATTTACACACACATGAACATTAATGACATCCCATTATTAATACACAGGCTTTAATATGGAGCTGACCCACCCTTTGCAGCTATACCAGCTTCAGCTATTCTGGGAAGGCTGTCAAGTTTCTTCACACCAGACTTACTCATCCATGTCCTTATGGACCTTGCTTTGTGCACTGGTGTGCAGTCATGTTAGAACAGGAAGGGGCCGTCCCCAAACTGTTACCACTAAGTTGGGAGCATAAAATTGTCCAAATTGGCTTCCAATGCTGCGGCATTAAGTTCCTTTCACAGGAACTAAGGGGCCAAGCCCAGCCCATGAAAAACAACCCCACACCATAATCCCCCCTCCACCAAACTTTACACTTGGCACAATGCAGTCAGGCAGGTACCGTTCTCCTGGCAACCGCCAGACCCACACAAAGTTTTGGACTCTGCAGACAGTTGGTGACTTCTGCACACTGTGCGCCTCTGCATGCATTGTCCCTGCTCTGTGATTTTACATGGCCTGTCACTTTGTGGCTGAGTTGTTGTTGTTCCCAATTGCTTCCACTTTGTTATACCACTAACAGTTGACTGTGGAATATTTAGTAGCGAGGAAATTTCACAAATGGACTTATGGTACAGGTGGCATCCTATCGCGGTACCATGCTTGAATTCAGAAAGAATTCACCCATTCTTTCACAAAGGTTTGTAGAAGCAGTCTGTATGTCTAGGTGCTTGATTTATTTATACACCTGTAACTGTGGAAGTGATTGGAACACCTGAATTCAATGATTTGGAGGGGTGTCCCAATACTTTTGGCAATATAGTGTATATTACAGTAGATCATTTTGAAAGGAATCAGCATTAAAATTGCAGAACTTGCTAAATTTAGTTTCCAGTGATTTTAGCGCAACCAGCAGACTATTGTGATAAGATGTGACAATTGCATGTGCATGAAATGTCATGTCGATCGCACATTCAAGCCTGGTCAGTGTGTAGCACTGTCACCGCACACCGCCGTCTTGTGTGCGTGGAGTTTGCGTGTTCACCCTGTGTGCGCGTGGAGTTTTCTGTGTTCACTCCAGTCTCCTTGTATTACCCAAGAACAGGGGCGTCACTAGGTTTTAAGGACAGGGGGGGCTTAGCCCCCAAGAAATGCACACGATATGAACAAACGTAGCGCATGAGCACAAAATTTCACAAATAAACAAAGACTGAGAAATTGCTTTTCAACTGTTTTGGACAGATTAAACATCTTAGGCCAGCAATAGATTTGTTGTTTTATTTCAGTCTGTTTGTTAATACAGTACAACAAGAAAACACAGGAAATGTGTTTGCTGCATTACCAACAAGAAAAAAACTGAAAATAAAGTGGTGGAAGCATCAAAGAATGCCCTATGTTTTTAAGAGTGGCAAATCGGTCAATCACTGATGCTAAAGCGTGTCTCGCAGAGTTATTTAAACAGTTTGGCGAAATTAATGTTCGGTCCCGCCGGCGGGACCACCGACCCCAGGGAGTTAATTACATGGGACTCTCTGCTGTTAGCTGGAGCTAACTAATTGTTATTACCAGCAGTGATGAAGACTTACTTTCTTGAAAAACTTGCGTACAGGCATGTTGTCTTGCTGTGTGCAGCATTTACACTAGTGTGTCCGCAGGTGTAGATGCAGCGGAGTGTAAAGTAGCAGTGAAAACGTGGACTGGATTTTCAGTAACGTGGGCGATCCCTGTGAACAACTGGAACGGATTAGATAACGAAGCACCGACGCTACCTTAACACTGTAAAGTGAAAGGAACCAACAGATTTATGATCATATTCAAGTGAATAGTGACAGGTTTATATTATTATTTATTTAAACTCATATTCCTGCGTCGTTATATTGAATTTGTCTGCAATTTTTGTAAAAATAAATAAATAAATAGAATAAGTTAAAAAAAAAAAAAAACACGAAATTATTTAGGGGGGTTTAAGAATATTAGCCACCCTAAAATAGGCCTAACGACGCCACTGCCCAAGAACGTGAACTGGAGCTCCTAAACTGGTCGTATTTGTCTGCACCCTGCAATGGGTGGTTGGTTCCTTCCTCCCACAATTATATTATATTTAAATGATAAATTTAATCAGTTTGTTGAATTGTCAGATTAATTGGTAGATTACTCAATTTTTGATATTATTGATAGTGACAGACCCACTCACCCTCCCCCAAGTGTATAAATCTCCCCCTACATGAAGCATTTAAGTACTTTGTACTTTGAAAGATTGCAGGTTCGAATCCCCAACTAGTAAAGCGCCACTTATATCCTGTGCAAGGTAGCGCCCCCAAGCTCTGCTCCCCGGGTGCTGAATTAGCTGCCCCCTGCTATGTCACGACGTCACATATGGGTTAAATGCAGAGGACACATTTCGTTGTTGTTCACTGTATGCTGTGGTGTGTCAACACTGATCACCAAATTCTAAAATGAATTTCAGGTCCTGCACTCAGTACTGCATCTCTTACAGACTCACAGGCTCACGCTGACTCTGCTGCTTCTGTCCCTCTGTGTCTGACAGATACAGAGACCGACCGGGAGCAAAGGGCTGCAGGGACCCAACATGGAGGTCAGTGCAGGTTTATTTAATGTAACCCAGACTGTAATAGGGATGTGATATGAATGTGATTGAATGTTACAGCCTCCCTGAAGTATATGTGTGAGCAGCGTGCAAACGCACTGCTAGTGGTCAGTGATCATGGGTGTTTGACAGGGTTTGGCCCAAACAGGCATAAGCAGCCACCAGAATTCACACAGGATCAGCTGACTTTTCTTCTTTTCTCTCCCTGATCAGATCGTCCTGTTTGCAGGCCATACAGAGAGAGGGAGGATCCCCCAGGTGAGAGAGAGGATCCCC